CTTGAATTAATCAGTACTTTGCTTTTTGAGGCTAAGATGCCGGCTACATTTTGGGTAGATGCCGTGTTTACCGCTACCTATATTATTAACCGTCTCCCTACTCCTAATTTAAATGGTGGTACTCCTTTTGAAAAATTATTTCATCATCCTCCTGACTTTTCTTTTATGCACATATTTGGGTGTGCTTGTTTTCAAACTTTAATGCCACTTCTTCAAATAAATTGTCTCCTAGGTCCACTTTATGTGCATTTCTAGGATATGCTCCTGAGTACAAAGGTTACCGGTGTCTTGATCCTATTTCTGGCAAGATTTATATCAATCGGAATTTTCGTTTTCGTGAAGATTATTTTCCATATTCCGACTTAATGTCATTTTCAGAAAAATCAGATTTGCCACAATTGTCCTCGGTCAGCACGATCCATCTTCATACTAGCAATCCACCACCGTCTGTTACTTATCCGCAGCTCCATCTTCAGCCGCACCTGCTCACCCAGGCCACCTCGAAAACACCACAAACATCGGCCACTTCTCAACCACCTGCTACACCGCACACACCGGCCACCCCGGTCTCTGCACCCTCCGGTCTTTATTTCTACATTTATTTCTTGTCTTGGTCGCTGCTTTTCTATGAAGGATTTGGGGGATTTACACTTTTTCCTAGGTGTCCAGGCTCTTCGAGTACCCTCTGGTTTGTTTTTATCATAGCAAAAATATGTGTCTGATCTTCTCACCAGGTTTCACCTTCACACTCTCAAGCCTGTTCGTACTCCTCTTCCTACGTGAACTAAACTCTCTCACACTGATGGGGAGCTTCTTGCAGATCCTACTGAGTATAGAAGTATGGTAGGTGCATTGCAGTATTTGACCATGACTAGACCTGATATTACATTTGCTATTCACCTGGTTTCTCAATTCATGCATGCACCTCGTACATTTCATCTTTTGGCTGTTAAGCGTATTTTCACGTATCTTCAAGGGACCATCGGTCATGGCCTGCTACTTCAGCCGAACTCAGCTTCTCCTACTTTACAGGCTTATTCGGATGCAAACTGGGCAGGATGCCCCCATAGCAGTAGATCCACCTCTGGCTTTGTTATTTTTCTGGGGCCGAATTTAGTCTCTTGGAAGTCTAAAAAGCAGCCTACTGTCTCTCGCTCCTCCACAGAAGCTGAATATCGTGCCATTGCCTACACTGTTCAGGACACTCTACACATCCATTCCATCTAGCTTGTTCAAACTGGGGTACCCTATTCGCGAGCCAGTAAAGCTTCTGTGTGCAGAGCCGGCTATAACCCCAGTTAGGCCAGGCTTGTGCCTAGGGCCTCACATTTCTAGGGGCCTCAAAAAATAAAAATACTTGTATTATGAATAATTAGAATTAGAAATTGATGAAAGATCTAGCCATCTGCAATTCCATTCTCCTAAGTCCCAAAAATAAACCGCAAACACCGAAACATCTATTCCCTTCATATTCCCAATTCCTAGTGCGCACTGACTCAATGAAGTTGAGAGGGAATAAGGAACAAGGATTTGTGGTAGGACTAATTATTAAAGCTTATATATTGAGTTAATATTGAGATATTGCTTCAGGTTGGTAATTTAAGTAATTTTGTATATTGATCGATATTCTATAAATTATAAATACTCGAAGTACTTTTGTTTGTAGGTAGTACGTAGTATAATTTTGAAGTAATTTTTAGTTGTTTGATGGCAGTAGACTAGTAGAAATGTATATATTTTATTTATTTATAAGATTGTTAGTAATAATTTTATTTGTAAATAAACTATAGCTAGCTTCTTCGTTGACTCATTTGTTTGTGATTTTTTAATATGTATATAAAAACTCCGTGTTAGGATTGTCATGACGGGTAAACCAAAGATTTATGGTATATATATAAAAAGAAAAGAGGAAATTGAGAAGAGTTTTGGGTATAAAATCGCTCACCGTTATTGGGAATGACAAACATTCCTTTTTAGAATGAGAATAGTGATTAAAACGAGAATATTAATAATCAAAGTGACCACTTAATGTTTGTTGATTTGAATGAGTTAAAATATTTGTTTTTCATTTTTAATGACTTTATTATTATAGAAAATACATTGATATAATTTACTAATATTGATTGATTTTTTGCCAAGGTCCTCTAAAGTGCTCAAGCCGCCCATGTCTGTGTGATAATGTTTCTGCTTCTTATTTATCTACAAATCCTATTCGCCATGCTCGTGGCAAACACATCAGTATTGATTATCATTTTGTTCGTGAGAGAGTCGCTCATGGAGATCTGTCCGTTCGCTATGTACGTTCCTACGCAATTTCAGCTTGCAGATATATTTACTAAGTGTTTGTCTCCACAACGTTTTATATTTCTTAGGGACAATCTGCCCATTGTTTCCCTAGCACAGCTTGAGGGGGTGTAATAGAATAATTAATACTTTAATTAGGTTTCCATATTTCTTATGTTTTAATTCCTAATGTACTCAGAACACCTTTTATTATATATGTGACATCTAGAACTATCACATTGGCAAGTCTCCCTATTATTCTCACAAGATATCCTAACCTCAAATGGTGTAACTAAGCATTGCATGTCTTTTAACACACATTCAAGAACTTTTTCATCGATCATTTTGAATCTCCAACAAGACATCCGATTGTTTATTTAGTAATTAAACAAACATTTATTTACCTCAAATAGGACTAAATTATTCATGAAATTCTCAAATAGGACTATCTATATTTTTATTCCCCAAATAGGACTAAATTACCTATTTACCCCCTATTTCCTTCCTCTATAATCCCCCTGCGCACACCACGTTCGGACGTTCCAACTTCTCTGCGCAAACCAATTGACCCATCTCCCCCTGCACCCTCATCTTCTCTCCTTCCCCTCATCCACTTCACCATGAACACCCAGTAGTGAAGTCCACCTCCACCCTCCGCCCTCCGCCCTCCGCCCTCCGCCCTCCGCCCTCACCTGCCCATCTTCTCTCCTTCGTCCCCATGGCAGCCGCCATCGCGAAGTCCGCCACCGCCGTCATCTCAAAACCATCATCACCGCTATCGGAGATGGTATTCTTCTTCCCCATGCTCTGTTTCTTCTTTGAATTTTACAGAATGCCAAGTTAAACTCTAAAAATGCCATCAAAATGGCATTCTCTGTCTTTAAAAAAATTGCATTTTCCTTTGCAAATGCCATTAATGTGGCATTCTGGTAAAAACCTTGGCATTCACTCTGGCAACGGTCAGATATGGAACAGAGGAGGTCAGATTTGCAACAATAGATGCCGGAAATGGTGCGAAGGTGCTTGGATCTGCAGGGACAGCGGCCAACGGCCGATGGAGGCTACTGTTGTCCAGATCTCCGGCGAGTCAAGCTGGATCTGCATCGGCGGCATTCAGATCTACAATGGCGGCTAATTTTTTAGTGACAGTGATGTCCGGCAACCGGCGGCGACCGGCGGCGACCGGCGGCGACCGGCGGCGACCGGCGGCGAGTGGCGGTGACTGGCGGCGACCGACGAGAGGCGGTGTCCTGTGTTCTAGTCGCAGCAGTATCTTCCAAGCATATATCAAGGGCATTTTTGTCCATCTACAGATTATAACTCCTATTTAGGAAATTTTTAGACTTTAGCCCTATTTTGACAATTAAAGATTGATTTAGTCCTATTTTGATAAATACCTCTTAAACAAAGCTTTTTTATGATGTAACTTTTTGAAACGTTAGTACACAACTTTTATTTCTTCGCATAATAATATGCAACACTTTCAAACTCAATATATAATATATATAGCGTAAAGATGCATTATAGAAAGGGTTGCACAACCGCCCCCATGTATACTCCTTATGTCACAACTAGTATTGTACCCGTGTGATGCACGGGACAATAATATGTTTATATTTTTTGCGAGATTATTTCAAAGTAGTTAGAATTATTAGTTAAATATATTCCCAATTATAAAGAAGCATGCTCCACCGTAACTTCGAATTATATTTCCTTTAATTTGAATATGGTTTTGTCCACCCTTTAAAGTACATATGTACATCAATTCACTAACTCATTCCAGACTGGCAGACTTTCAGTCCTCCACTCCTCGCACTTTTGCAAAAAAAATAGTAATGGGATTAAAATTTTAAAACCACGTTGTTCCTAAGATGAAAATAACTCATCTGTTTTAATTTCATTCACTGCCAATTCTAAATTATAAGGCGTGTGGAGGGAGGGAAGATGAATCACATTATCTGGTTATTTTGGGAGGAACAATCAAGAAATTACATATTATTACTCTCTTTATCCCATAGAAATCATATTATTGTGTTTTGTTGTGGTTTGACTTTTATACTACGTACTATCGTTTTATACTACTCAGTATCTTATAAATCATACTTTTAAGAATAAATTACAGTATTTATGGATTTTTAACCATCCACGTCTATGCATCAGATGATCAGAACTTACACATTTACACTATTACAAATTTACAACCAATTTACAACCTTACTGTCAATGATGTATTATCATATATAAGACCCACATCACGCATCAGATTTGAAAAATCTTATTTTTAACATGTCATGATCAAATGGTAAATGCGTACCTGTATGTGATTCTATGAAGATACATCTATTTCATACGTAGTACTACATTATACATATTATATTTGACATCCTTTTTTTTGCAGGGTACTTCTATTGCTCATGGAAAAGCAAAGCTTCAAACCCCATTTCTATTGGAGTTATTCATCTCATTGATAAACAAATGAAATTATATATGTGATTCAATGATAATAAATGTACTCGAAATAATTTGAATAAGAGAATGAACTTACCCATAAAGGCCATAATACTGCGGAGAACAAAAGAATGATTAAAGGAGGGCAAGCAGTTAAATACCGAGTACTACGTAGCTGATTTAAAACGACGTGGCTGTTACAATTTGCAAATATTGCCCAATAGTTGCCAAAATTAGAAATTAGAAGCAGCAGTTAATTAATGAGCACGTAAATTGCCTGGGTGGGAACAGTTAGGGGACAGACGGTCCCCTTTTTATATATATAAAGATGTATATATAGCATGTATAACAACCTTAGTTTCATATCCGGAGTAATTTAAAAACAGACACATGTCCGCCCCAACGGACAGAGGTCGGAAGACCGCAAGAGAAACCTAGCAGGGATCAAAACCCGGGTTTCCGCATATCACAACAGTCACACCACTGGGAAATGTAGGGAGAGGGCCGGCGAGCTGATTATTTGAAAGGTCCAGCTCCACAAGATAGGGCAAAGTTTTAAGGCTTTCGGGGATATGACCGGTCAGGTTATTATTATTGAGGTAGAGATACTTCAACGATTGGAGGCGGGATAAGTCGGGTATTTCGCCGGATAACTGGTTGTGTTGCAGTTCGATTTGATCGAGTCCAGTCAAGTTCTGTAACGCAGAGATGTCGCCGGACAAATTGTTGTTCGACAGGTAAAGACCCACCAAGCTGACGTTGAAGAAGGGTGGGAGGGGCCCTTGGATGTTGCAACCAGCGGCAGAGAAGGACGAGAGTTTTGAAGAGCTCTTAAGACCTTCAGGGAGCTCCCATGGTGCCAGCCGGTCATTGTCGTCCATTTCAACAAATTGGAGCTCAGTCTTGGAGTCGAACAGGCCGGGAGCGATATGATCGAACTGAACCCGTTTTCGCCAACCACCAGTGAATGGAGCTGCGGCGAGCCGGTGAAGTTGGGAATCACGCCTTCAAGGTTGCAGTGGGGGACGTCGAAGTAGCCTAAGTTGGGGAGGTCGTTTTGGTTGGTGGGAGGCACAGTGCCGCCGCTAATATCAATATTCCCCAGCGTGATCGTATAAACCCTGCCTTCTTCATCGCAGGTCACGAGATCACTAGTCCAGTTGCAGGGACTGGACGAGGCATTCACTGGATCGGGTTGGACCCCCGGCAACCACTTCACACTTGCTCTCAGCTGCTCCATTATAGCGCTGTCCTCGGTGCCCCACGTCGCATTCTGCGCCGCCCTCGCCGCACAGGCGGCGGCCGCCGCTGCAAACAAAAACACGAGCAAGCTGCTGCTGGAAAGCGCCATCATTATTTTACTTTGGAATTTGGTATAATAATTAACTATTGCCACTAATTGGAATTGGGATGTGATGGATGGAGTACCAATGTGTTGAGCCGGGCCATCTCTATATATACTAGGCCAGTAGGCCATACCTATCTATTATCTATATACCTATTGATCCCTACGTCCTAATTTGATGCTTTCATCGTAGTTTACAAGGTTTGACTAATGATAAACTAAACAGATTGTTGTTCGTATTTAATTTTTTTTGTGAATGAAATTTGGATGGGATCCTCTCCCGACTACGACGGTGCCTTGCGCATCAGACGAAAAAGTGGAGCCCAAAATTTCTGACCGTTGAATTGTTGATCGGACGATCCCGCAGAAGCAAGACACTCTACCTTACTCTAAAGTAAGGTAGAGGCTCCGGATCCATGAAATTTACATATTCTAATATTCATATTTAAGAGTCTTGTTCCTGTTCAGCTGGCCTGACGGGAACCGCCGTCCGTCCAAAGGCATTTCGCGCACTTCCCAGTCGAATTTTTTGATGAATTTTTTTTAGCATGTTCTTCATCCAATCTAGTTTATGCATACCAAATTTCAGATAAAAATTCAATCGGGAAGGCAATCAAAAAAAAATTGGAAGATAACTACGCTTTGTATATATATAATTAGCGCAGTTATATTACAAAAATTATTTGACTGCCTTCCCGATTGATTTATTAGCTGACATTTGGTATGAATAAACTAGACTTGATGAACAACGTGCTCAACAAATTTCAAAAGAAAATTCCACCGAGAAGTGCCCGAAATGCCTCGACCGGACGGCGGTTCGCGTCAGACCGGCTCGACATGAAGTTTCCTCTCGTATTTAATATGTGCAAAATTTGTACATATACGAAGTACAATAAAATGTTAATAACATACTAGGTAATGCAGAATTACTAAATATATACACTCTTATAACAAACTTAGTTTTTTTGGTCCAATTAATATACTCCGTAATAACTATTACTATCATCTTATAATTTATACTACGCAAAATGGTAATAATATTAATTAAGAGACATGCAATATTGGTTTTCATTTCCATTATGTACATGCATGGGTTTACAATATGTTTACTTAAAAATATTCCCAACAGTTACCCTATTAAATTTTGCACGATAAATAGTTAGTTATGTAAAAATGGATACTTCTATATTTTCTTAATCACTATTCCACTGTCAATGTAAATTGTTCCTAATCTTTTACTTTATCTAACAAATTTTTATCAAATTTGATTTTTCTTGATCGGGTATTATAAAACTTTTAATGTAGTTTCTGAATATGTCAATTTTAATTACTACAAATAATCTTATTATTAACAAGGATTAGTTAATTTAATGATCATTCAAACATCCGAACTTTAAATGGGATGGAGTTTGTACCATAAACTCATAAAGTGAATGTCTGCTTCGACTAAATTAAATTATACGAAGTATAGTGTAATTGTACTTTATAAACATTTCTAAGCTGTCATTGCGCTTGGTGCACTGACGCACTCAGTTACGTAATCATCCAGGCGGAAAACATGGTGGCAAGATAGTCATCACGAATCTCATATTTTTAACGCGGCATGGAAACTTGAAAGTGCAAATAAGTCAGCATCCTCAAATTAATCGAAGATGCGCTATTCCAAAATTCCGTCTACAATTCATGAGTAGCATTACCAATTAATTAAAGAAATATTCTCCCGTTTCATAAAAACTTTCAACTTTTAATTTTGGCGTGTCCCAAAAACTCTTCGCACTTATCATTTTTGAAAAAATTTGTTGGGTCACATTCATTTACCTTTTCTTACAAAATAAGAATCATACATTTTCACATCATTCTCAATTTCTAAATATGCGTGCCAAGTCAAAGTGGGAAGTATATTTTGTGACGGAGAGAATAATAAGAGTCTGATTTTGTTCACCCCTTCTAAGAGTATCTCCAATGCTAAAATGTGAACGGTGCATACGTGGCATGAGAGGTAGCCAATTAAAAAATAATAAATAGAATATCTCTCTCCTTATTTGAAGAATCTTGTATCATTTTGGTAAGTTTTTCTTCACAATGTCAAGCAAAATGTCTAGATGTAGACATTGTACTTGACATTGCAGAGGAAAACATACCAAAAACACATAAAACCGTGGAAAGAATGAGAGAGAAATGTCATAAATTCAATTTTTTGTATTTCTCTCTCTCATGCCACATATGCACCGTGCACATTGTGTAAGGAGGGTGAACATCACTCTCTCCATACAATCAATGCCATTTGGCACTCCAATTATCTTTTCTCTTAAAATTATTATAACTTTTTTTTATTTATAATCTGATTTTCACAAAAAAAAAATATCAGATCTAATAATTTTTTGTTATCTTCCCAATGGTATCCATATTGTATATAAAAAAATTGAAAAAAAAAGTTTTTTTTCTCCAAATCTATTTTTAGTCGATATTCAATATTAACTTTACATATTCAATATTTGTATCATATGAAAGATCATAAAAAATGAAGAGTATAGACATAATTTTCGAAAAAATTTAATCAAAAATGAAAAAGTTATTACAATTGTAAGAGTTTAAACAATTGCATGTCATGTGGCAGGCCAATAGGGTGGGTGGGGGTGATGTTCACCCTTTTTTGAGGAGGTGAACAAAATTGTTCTCGAGTAATACATATTGATTCAAACATTTGAGGGCTAGAGCTGACGATAGGAAACCCTCGCTTTCTTCTCCGATTGGTAACAATATCTGGGTAATAAGGAGTGAAAGGTATTTTATGTTACTGCTCTTTTTTTTTGTATTTCTAAATTCCGGAATTTTGGTTTTGGTCTGACTACTTCTATGACCGAGAATTATGCCCACTTCAAGTGAGCGTGAGTTTTATTCTTCTCCTAGCAGTGTCTAGAGATTGTGTCATCTTCATAGGTGTAATTGATCAAGTGATTCATTATTCATTGTTATCAAAACAGATTTAACCTAATTCTTCTGAAGTTTCAACTACTCATCTTCCTCCTGAACCAGCACCTCACTCTAAGAAAAAGATAGCTCTCAAGTGGATCTTCTTTTCGGTGGCTGATCAACCTGATGATTCGGCCAACTTCTGCTCAATTGAGTTTTATTTGCTGAATTGGTTGCTGGTCAAACCATTTTTTCTCTTTCTGGTGCAGTGACTAGTGAAGCTAGATCTTTCAGATGTAATTTTTTTATTTTTCATTTTGGAGCACCAAGATTGTTAGACTAGACCACATTATTGTGAGGTTAGCGATCTGGAAGGATTCATTGGATCTTTTTCGTTATATGTCTCATCCTATTGTAGTCTTAGGTTATTCATCATCTTGTATTTTTGTTATCATTTAATGAATAAATTAGTTATTTGATTTTCACAAAAAACATTTCATGTGCCTAAATGAATTCTTGTTTTTTATGTTTCCAAATTTTCAGTTGTGTTTATATTTATTGTATTTTTAATGTGTTATTGATAGCTTGTAATTATTAATTACTTATTTAGGCGGTTATCCAAGCTCAAAAGTCAAAACTCTCAAGACCAAGGATTCAAGCACACATTTTGTAACATTTCATTGTACCATCTTTGCGATAAGATGAGCAAGTAACACACATTAGTGTGCACAATGAATTCTCAATCAAGTCAAATTTTATTGTTTATAAACAGTCACGATGTTTTATTTAGGATGTTTAGGTATGATTTTAAAACAACTACTTCTGCTCTTTCAGAAGCAGAAGTTGGAATGTTTGGGTGAAAGTGTAGAAGTAATTCTGGTGCTTTAATTTACTCCTACAATCAGATTTTTAGAAGTTGGGGGATACCAGCTTCTAAAAACTGATTCTGATTCTGCTTCTGTTTAAAAAAGAAGCAGAAGCGGAATCAATTCCAAACGCCCCTTAAAGTTAAGTGTATTGATTTTCTTAGAGATGGTTAAAAATGGAATGTCTTTGTGATCACTATAATTTTTTTTAAATGAAATATTACTACATCCATCTCGGCTTAATGGTTTCATTGAAAAATGATAAAATCATTTAGACAATAATTAAATAAGGTAATTAAAGTATATTTTGATAAATAGCTCTGTATTATATATTCGGTTTCATAACTGTAATGTTACAAGTAACCTTAAAGTATATTTTGAAAAATAGCTGTGATGAGTGTAAAATTAATTAGTACGTATGCCGTATGGTATCCTATTATAATAGGGAAAACTTATGTTTGGTATTCAGTGATCTCCCTATCTAGAAATGAATTAAGTGATATTTAAATCATGTATATCACAACTATCATATTTACAATTAAATAGCATAAATTTCAAATATAAAAAATCAAAGATCGAAGAATAATGTTTATTCATTAATTTATTCAATAATCTAAATCGTGTAAATTAATTCTTATCATCTTCATATTAAGAAAAAATACAAAACCGAAGAATGATTATTTGTGAATTTATACTCCGTATTAATTAGTCTATCTCTTACCATTACCACATATATGCGTCTAACACAATCTTATCATGCGTACCATATACTCAATTTTTATTAAAAAAAATGCACACATGTCACAAATTGTTTTATGGACAAACTCAACTCCATTTGTCATTCGTGCAATGTACAAGTCAATTAACTAGTGAAGAGTTAGAAGAAGTTAGCCTTCACAAATCACAACTGAAGTGATATACCGAAAATGATGCTCAAATTAATACACTTCTCTTTGCTTTTTTACAAGATTATTTTACTCGCCCAAACACTAATCTCAAAATCGCAAATAACTCTAAAAATCATTTTTTTTGTAGGAAAACCTTACAAGTTATAAGTTACAAACTTACAAAACAATAAAACAAATACCGGACAAAACTTGTTTGTGAATTAAAAAAAAAAACCAGGTGGGGGACAAAGGTTGCTAGCCTATAATGGAGTTGGTGCAGTCATCTCTTGCGGGATAAAGAACCCCTGGAAACAGCTTTCATGTTCTGGGAGTCCCTAAAACAAACGAAGTGCACAATTGTCCTTCCGTTTGGATAGACTGCAAATACGCTCGTCCCTATCTTCTTGTGGCAGAGGGAGCACATGCTCTCACCCGTTATCTTCACCACTGCTTTCCTCTGGTTATACAGTTCATCTTTTACCTGCTCATTGTAAAATTTAACTGTTGG